TGAGAAATTTCTGCAATTTGATTGGCTTAGAGCAGTGGTATTTCAGCTTAATTTGAAATACCTACATGTGAAAATTACAAACCTTTTTCGGGTAGTAGTATAAACAAATAATAGCATGATTTGTACGTGATACTTGGCATAAATACCAGTTGTGATATTTCGAAATTGTCTCAAATTTCACTCGCCTAACGGCTCGTGAAATTACGTATAACAATTTCGAAATATCACTCGTGGTATTTATGCCAAATATCACTACAAATCATGCTATTACCTATACAAATATGATGGTGTTATATAACCAGTTCCGCTACAATATGTACGCGCGTTTTTCTTTATGGTCACTGGCTTTCAATGAGTTTGTTTTTATTTTATACACTCATAAAGTGATCGACGAATTATAATTCACCAATATATGCACACAAGTCGGCGTTATTTACATAAGTGCGTTAATTACGATTTTTACGACCACTCCAGTTGACACTATGATCTGGAGGAAAAATTGGGGATTATCGTGTATGTTTTTTTTCAGCCCCAATATTTCTTTCAGAATCAGAGAGTGCTTCTACTGTTTTGGCCCACAAGCATATTCTGTGAGGCTTATTTATCCAGCAGAAGCCTGACTACGACTGAGTTAGCCTTTTTCAGGCGTTCAGATAGTGGACTGAGGGCGAAAAAAAGTCGTTGAACAGGCTACAGGACTGAGTATGCAAAAATTTACGTTTATGACGTGACACCAAAACATTTAAATTGTAATTATGTCTCTTCTTAATTTACCCTTTCTTTTGTTAAAAGTTTGTTTTTAGTGATTTGCAGTTCTCTTCAACCAACTTTTTTAAACTAGCATACAATCCTTCTTTATTTTATATGTTTTAAATCGTTTTACTCTTTAAACACAGAAATTTTTGTTTGAATTTTATTTTATTTTATCTTTTATTCTAACTTTAATCTTGAATTGTAAAGCGCTTTAGAATATTTTATAATTTTAGCTATATAAATATAATTTATTATCATTATTATTATTATAATTATTACAAACTAATCGAGAGACAATGGTGCCAGCTCATGGCTTACCGCAGTGCTTCTTGTCGATCAAGGCTTGGTGCTGAATAAACAAGAATTCAGAGACTTTCTGCGTATAAGAAGCCCCTGTCCGACTTACCAAGCAAGTGTGTTTGTAGTGAGAAGTACACCGTCTGCCATGCAGGGAGGGTTCGTGGCGCAGAGACACGATGGTCTTCGCAACCTACTTACCTCACTTATTGGTAAGGTTTGCACCACTGTTGAAGTCGAACCACAACTACAACCTCTCGATAATGAGCGATTCAACCTCAGAAGCGCGGTAACAAGCCCGGAGGCAAGACTGGACTTCAACGCAGGGGGGCTTTTGGTCTCGTGGAGTTACAGCATTTTTTGATGTCAAAGTAACGCATGTTAATTCCAAGTGTAACCAGGGAAAAACAACATCCACAAAGAGGAGGAGAAAAAGAGGAACTACCAACAGAGGGTACCGGACGTTGAAATGGGATCTTTCACTCACCTAGTTTTTGGAACCAACGGTGGGATGGGAGCCGACTGTAACTGCTTTCTCAAACGCCTAGCAGAGAAGCTCTTAGAAAAGAATGAGGAACCTTATCACATTACTATTACTTGGATTAAAGCATTGCTTTCTTTTGAGATTTAAGATCGGTAGACACATGCGTCAGAGGTTCCAGGACACCCTTCCACAAAATTCCATAAGGGGATTTCATTGATGACTGCCGCTTAAACGCTATTAGTATTTTAGGATCTTTTGAATATTTTTTATCTCATTTTTAATCGAAATGAATTGTTTTTAATTGAAATGAGTTCTTTTTTTAAATTGAAATGAATTTTTGTTAATCGAAATGAACAGGAGCTTATGAAATGAAATGACTTGTAAATAGTGCTTTGACTGAATTTTATTTCTTCTTCAGCGAAATTAATCACGTAAATAGGTTTTAATAGTTAGTTTTATTATTATTGTTATTATTATTATTATTATTGTTATTATTATTATTATTATTATCATCATTATTATTTTATCAGAGGCACTACGTACCCAGAGTCTGGGTAGTAATATATCATCATGTAGGAGGCTATTTTCTCAGTCCATTAAAAAAATGATATGAATGAAATGAAGTATGTGATAAGAAATATTTACTTATTGTAATTTACATTACAGTTTATTTCGATAGTGAAATTCCGGGATGGCCCTGCAGCCTTACCAGGACGAGGATTTGAATTATTTCAAATTTTCTTCCCTTGTGCTCAAAGAATTCCCAAAAGCCTTGAGACAGACGTTTAAGACGATGTGGGACAACACCCATGGACGTCATCCTGGTTTTCAGGAATGGGATGATTCTTCTACCGTGAGAAATTTGTTTGCCACTGCAGAGGGTGGCAGAACCAAAGTTCCTGTCCATCAGTCATATCACGAATGGGATTGCACTGCTTTGTTCCAGGCCACTATCTACTCGCGAGTCTTCGCCGTACCTCACGGGACGCTAAATGACGTGTATGTTAAGCCTCGTGGACTATCACATGGCCATTTTCATCCGTCCGTAGTCAGCACAACCGGAAATAATGAGGAAACTCAGGCACTAGCAATAGATCAGTTGCGCCTTTTGAGGAATTCCCTTTGTCACTCGACCAGTTCCAAGATAACCAAGGTAACCTTTGACCAGTACGTGAAACACGCCAAGGACGCGTTCCAAGCGCTGAATGTCTCTACAGCTCCTATTGATGCTGTTGGTAGTTTATTAGAGTCAGACTTTCCCATAAATGAAGTCCGCAGACTTGAGCAGGCTATCAAAGAAGAATATAAATCGTATATAAGGTTTCTTGAAAGTGTGAAGGAAAAAATGGAAAGCGATATTGCAGACAAAGAAGACGTCGGTATGTT